ATGAAAGGCATTCTTTCTTGCCTTGACATTGCATTTCTAGACATATGTTGACATTTTTAAGTAAAATCTATGAGATGCTAACCAACATTAGAGATCGAGCACTGAGGTTTTGTACTACAATGTTTATGAAAAATTTTAATCTATATTCGATTTCTGGAATTAAGTTAGTATCTTAAGTATATATATCTCTTTTCCTTTGAGGTAGCCTTCCTAATAAATGGATTGGTTTTAAATGGAGTTTTCTAGATTCTAGTAAACAATATGCTTGCTTTTTGTCAACTTTGATAAAACTCCTGAGATACTCTTGTTTGGTGGCAAGTAACGAAATAAAGTAACACATCAAGAAAACTATAGTTACCCTAATAAAAAATACATTTTATCTTGTAATAAAGGAAGATCTCACTAGTAGAATTGGAAAGGTTATTGCCCCATTTTTCCCTCTCATTTATTTATTCTAAAGCCCCCTCACATAATACTAGCTGAATCACTGTTGGTTCACTTATTTTATATTTTTCAGGATGATAAAGTTTAATCATGATTACAGATATTTGTCATGGTTAATTTTATGTGTCATTTTTGGACAAATCATGTCCAGTTTGATCAAACACAAGATGTTGCTGTAAACATATTTTACAATTGTGATTAAGATCTAAATAGACTTTGAGTAAAGCAGATTACACTACATAATATTGGTGGGTCACATCCAATTAATTGAAGGCCTTAACAGCAAACACAAGGATTTACAAAATAGAAGGAATTCTCCTTAAATTCAAGACAACAGCATAGAAGCCCTATGTGTGTTTCCAGCATACTGGAAATATATACAATGTATATATTGATATATGTATATATTATAGAGATCGATAAACAGGCAGAAAGATAATAGGTCTGCATCTCTGAAGAACATCTAACACACTATGATTCATTCATGAAGATCAATACAATTGTTTCTGATCACATTTGAATTAAACATTAAAATTAAAGAAACATGATGTCTCATTTTAATTTTATGAAGGTGAGACTATGAAATGTGTGAAAAAAATTTAAATGAAAATCTATTGAATTCAAATTCTAGTTTATTTACTAGTTATATGGTTTTAGACAAATCATATGACCATAACAATATCCTTATTAATAATAATCAACAATTAAACTGTAAAATTTCTATATTTAAATGAAATGATAAATACAAACTTGCTCTTAGAGCAATGAAATGAACTGTAAAGTGATCAGTAAGTACTCTTATTACTTTATTATTAATCCTAATAAGATTCTCCATGTAGAAGTTGACATGAGCACAATTTGTATATAATTGTCATGATTGCTATTTTACAATATATATTTTTCTAATTTAAAAATGTTTAGAGACTTACATTTTCTTTTTAAAATGAAATTTTAATTTTACTGATTTCATCAATTTAAGCTTATAAACTAAGCTTACTTTAACTTATTCCTCAGTTAATGAATACGTTAACTGCCTCTCATAAATTTTTCAAGCTAATGTCTTTGTCTTCCTAACGTGTGATCTTATAATATGAACTCAGAAAGTAGTCCCCCCCCCAAAAAAAAAAAGAACAACTTCCTGCTGTATTTCTGTACTACAAAATCACCCTAGGTGTTACAGATGTAATCTGCTAAACATTTTTCTTTTTGTATAATTCTTATCATAATTTAACTCAAAAAACAATTGTGCTTAATGTATACTTGAAAATTCACATTCAAATTTCAAATAGGCATAAAAACATTGGGTCTTACTTGACCTGATGTCTAGATGAGCAAATTTAAAGATCATTCCTTGGTCATTCACTTTGTTTTTGGTTATTAACTGTGCTTCGGCTTTTCTGGTCACTAAGTTTTAAATTCTATTTCATTTCTTAACCAAATGATGTCCCTTTTAATATCAATTGGGCTCATGTTACTTAAATTACCATTTTCAAAGTTAACATTCACCCCAAATTACCTGCAATATGTCAAATCTTCACAACTAGGATTATGTGAGAAATGGATTATAGGCAGTCTACTGATTCTAGAACTGTCATTCATCTTCTCTAGAGAGCTCATTAACCTTTTAAGGTTTGTACATGATTCCATAATTATCTTGGAATAGGATTTTTATTTCTCTTCTATTTCATCAGGCTGCCCCTTTGTATGACCCACTATGAGACTGACATTCTTTGAGTTGGCAAAATGGTTGGAAACATAGAGGAGTAACACATAAAGCAAAGCCTGTCTCTAATCACCATCCAACACTTTAACATTCCCTTTGCTATGAAAATAAAATATTGTGGCTTTTTATGTATAGAGTCGAATAAAAATAACTTGAAAAAATAGACAGCAGTCATTTATATTCACTTATAATTATCTTTCCAACTGACACTGAAAGACTACTTATTTTTTGAGGTTTATATATATTCCATGATCTATAAATTGTGATACTTGTAACCATATACTATACTTTTCATTTGTCATTAAAAAACTAGTTTCCAGCATGAGGGTGGTATCTCAGTCCTTAGAATTCACCTGATTATGTACTAATTGTCATGTTGATCTTTTATGTATTTTTGGTAGAAATCTAAATTTTAATTAAAATATTTCAAAATCTAGAATTCACAGAGAAAACATTGTCATTATTTTTGACTCATGTGACCCCCCATGTTCTCTCAATTTAATAGTACTCTACTACTGTAATATCATCTGATTCCTTTATGTAAACCTTCTATTCAAAAGAAGATAGTAAATCAGTTGTAGGAAAATTAAAAACTGAAACAGATTTTTTGTGTTTCTCCTAGTACCTAATTCAGAACTTACCACAATATAGGTGACATATATTTTTACTAGCTCGATTGACCAAACTAGTAATTCACTTAATACCAATTTATTAGTCAACCTTATAATTAAAAAAATAAATATGGCACATCAACCTTTATGGTGATTTAAACAGTTTGTATATGGAGTAGCTAATTTCACAAACTTCATGATCAATAAAGCAAAATCTTGTCTAAAGATAACCTTTGTCAAATCCATGTCATTTCAAAGTCATAAAGTTCTTGAGATACATTGACCTTTGTGTAGTAAGTCTGAAACACAGCAGTTTCACTTAGTGTTATATGAAATAAATTATTCTAGAGACAAGCTTTGCTATTGTTGTTGGCATACTGAACTATGAGGTCACCCCTTTCTCTCTTTCTATACGTTCAGTGTTTAGTTAAGTTATCTGTCTCCAATTTGCTAAATCTTTTCAGAGTTGAACCTTGGATAAAATATAAAAAATCCATCTTTTCAAAAACTAGCATATTTCTTATGGCAATGTATTTCAATATTGGAATCAGAGATAAATGTTGGTCTTTTTTTAAACACACTATTTTAATTTTCTATTGTAAATGTAAATGAACATGAACAGGGATTGGGGCTTGGAAAATACTTAAATGAGTTCATTTTATAGGCAGAAAGAAAAAGACCAGAAGAAAAAATACCACCACCAAGTATGACAACAGACTATTTTCAGATTACAAGGGTAAATTCATTGAAATCTTTGGAAAGTATGTGTTTAATAGGTGATTTCTATTCTATCTTATCTCTGATAATGTGGGTTTCTTATCTTCCTGTCCCAAAAATGTATATGGTGAAGACCCAATACTCAGTACTTCAGAATATGATTAGAGGTGAGGTCTTTAAAGGTACTTAATTTTAAGTGCCATTTGGGTTGGGGTGGGCCCTAATACAATATAACATATGTCGCTACAGGAAGAGATTTAGGGCAGGCAGACACGAAGGAAAACCTGTGAAATATAGGAAGAAAATGGCCACAGACAAGCTAAGATGAAACTTCAGAGGAAAACAACCCTGTTGAATATTTGACCTTGGACTTCTCCCCAGAATTGTGAGAAAATACATTTCTTTTGCTTAAGTCATCTAATTCATATTTTGGTTATGACAGCAATGACAAATTAATACAATAATAAAAGAAAACCACTTTAGCTAAAATAAAGGCATTTATCAGAAGGATTCACACACACACAAACCCTTGTGCAGGAAAAGAAGTTGGACTTTGTGGGAAGATGATGATACAGAAAAGTGTTAATGTTCTCTTTCCTAGGGTCAACAGGGTAACCCTCTGTTTCACTGTGAATTATCATCTTGACTTTCTGTGCTCATTAAATTTGAATCCTTGACATATTACTCAAGGCTTAGCAAAAAAAAAAAAAAAAAAAGATTTAATACACCATTAGGTGTGTGCAAAACCTATGGAAGGAGTAGAACAAAGTTCACCAAAAATTCCCAATGCGCCAGAATATCAAGAAGTTTCTGGAATCACAGAAAACCAGACTGTTTACCTGAGTTCTTTTCAGCAATACAATGTTTAATTGAGGATGTTGGAAACCACTGATATAATATTATGTTAGGTCTTTCCAGAGCTCACATTCTTTCTCAATTTTTTTGAGCAGAAATGATTTTCTGTACACTGCTAATTTCCAAATATCACTCACTTTCTTCACACTGACAGAATATTACTGACAAGAAAATTTGCAAGATACATTGTTCCTGGATTTTAGCCTCTAGTGCTGAAAATATTTCAAATTTGTTTAAATGTGTTTCACATGTTCTATTTCACTTTCTAGAACAACTGTCCCTCATGGCAATCAAGGGATCTTGAGAAAGCCCCAATCAACATATGCTCTAGATAAGTCTCCTTTCACCCCAGGTGTCCCCACCTGTATTGGCATCATCCCAGAATGTACTCAGCAACTCTGCATGCTCTGAATAAACTTTTTCTTCGCTAGTTCAACATCAACATATTAACATAATAAGAAGCACATGCCACAGAACTCCACTTTCCTTTCAACACTCCCAACCTCATAAACATCTGTTGTATTAGTGTTTTTGAGTGAGACACAATAAATCTATATCTGTATCTGTGGCTATTCTATCTCTCTCGCTCTCTATTATCATCTATAGCTATTTTATTATATATAGCTATATGTAGTTGAGAATTGACTCACATGATTATGGAGGCTTAGAAGTCTCAAGATCTGTAGTCAGCAAGCTGGAGACCCAGGGAACTCAATGTGTAGTTTCAGTCTGAGTTCGGAGACCTGAGAATAAGGAGAGCTAATTGTAAGTTCCAGTCCAAATGCCAATTTGATTGAAACCCAGTAAGAGTCAAGGGCTAATTGTTAACTCAAAGGCTGGGAAAGACCAGTATTCCAGGCCAGGCAAGACAATTCCTCTTTACTTGACACTCATGTGTTACCTCCATCTCTGCCACTGTGATTACTTTGTTCTAAGGACTACAGGGTGGTGACAGAGGTGACTGGGGAAATATTTGGTCTGGTATACTCAGAGTAGGGTCATCCTATACATTTGATTATTAAAATACTCCTCTAGGGCCTCCCTGGTGGTGCAAGGGGTTAAGACGCAACATATGAAGCTAACCGCAGCCACCGCAGCACAAGTTCCAACCCCGGCCAGGGAGCAACCCACATGGCACAGCAGACCTCTCCTGACTTGCCCACTGCTCCCCTCAGCAGTGTATTTCAGTAGATCTGCCTTTTCTGTTCCCCACTCTGTCTCTGGCGGATCCTTTCACTGCCCATACCTCTGGCCTATACCTCTGTTCTCGTATGCATAAATAAATCTTTAAAAAAAAAAATACTCCTCTATTAGGTCACTCTTTAGTAAGCATACACATGGGACACAACTACCTTCATTTTTTCTCTTTGAGAGGTGTATCCAAATACCTCTTGCCCAATTTTACTAACTCACTGGCCATTGTCCATGGGTCAATCACATATCTGGTCCCAGAACATTACAAAATAAAAAGATGGGAAGTAGGAAGGACCATATAAATGATTGGTGACAAACATGTATTCAGCTGCACTTATTCATTCTAAATCTAAGTTTCTGTGTCTCATGCTAAAACATATTAAAGTCTAAGAAATAATTTTATAATAAATGTTTTAAGCAAAATCTTTTCTTTCAGTAATTAAATTCTGCAATTACTTGGACAGATTAGGGGTAAATAAGATTGTCTTGATAATCCTTTAAAAAAAATGAAATTATCTCAAGTATTTCACATAAATTTATGAAAATGAAAACCTAACATACTTGATAAATGTTGGATTAGTTATTTGGTTATAAGTCACCTATGAAAGAACAAGGCAAAAATTTAAAACACTGAAACTTTTGGTTTGAAATACCTAAAAATGTTATACTTTAAATTTATAGCAAAATCAAGAAATTTTATTTAGATATTTTTACACTTAGGACTGATGCAACAGTAACAAGATAAAATTTAAGAAATACTAAAAATATTAACTTGTAACCCTTTGTAAGTTACTTTAAACATTACTTAAAAGGTATAATCAATTGTGTGACTAAAGCTTTGTATTTATATAATACCTACTGAGTGTGAGGCACTATTGACACAATAAACCTCTGCTGCTCTGCTGGTGCTACTCTTGTGCTGCTGGCATCCCCTTGATGCTGCCCTTATAAGCCTAGTCTCAGCCCAGGTGTACCCACCTATGCATGCCCACACCCTACTACAGGTGTCTACCATCAGGCAAGCATTTAATCTAATGGCAGGAGGGCAGAAAAAGCCTGATACTTTTTACTTACCCTACACAGAAAAACCGGGAAGACTTTTAGCTGCTCTAATTGAAAGAGTAGAGATGAAAACAGACAAAAATCTTTACCTTGTGTGAGAGTGATACAGGGCAGCAAGGGGGCACTAAAACTAGCCAAGGACACTGCCTAAATAGTTTACTGGTCACTCTGAGTTCTTCATCTGAGTACACAATTGAAAGACTACTCAGGTTCAGAGAACATCATAAATGGGATTTAACAAACCAGGAGAGAACAGAATTACCGAGGCCACAAGCGTCTGTTTACCTTGTCCTAAACACAAAGGCTCTCAAAGTGGTGTCTTCCTGCCACTGAGGCCTGGAGCATGTGGCAGCAAGACTACAGGCCCAGTTCCAACTCACAGAAACAGCAGAAGAAACAACAGGAGATGCTCACCGGAGCTGATGAGATGTCCCAGCACAGCACCGGACAAGCAACATTCAAAGCAGCAGGTATAGCATCCAAACAACTGCAAAATGGCCACACTCACACAGCTCAGCAAGGCTCCCAGCTAAGGGGGCTTTGCTTTCCCTGCCAGGAAGTAACATGTAGCAGCAAGATGGCCACAGAGCAGGTTTTCTATGACTGGAGAAGACAGGTGAAGGAGTCCTGGAGCCCTTAGTGGCTTTTGCAGGCTTTTGAGTTTATACCAGGTACACGGCAGGCAGGGGTGCCAGGGGGCCTGGAGGCTGACAGGCCTCCCAGCCCCCAGCAAGTCTTCACTCTCTCTGGGCTCTTCGGCATTCTCTCGTGGCCTCTGCTTCTCTGCTGGTGCTGCTCTCGTTCTGCTGGCGTCCCCGTGATGCCGCCCTTATAAGCCTAGTCTCAGCCCAGGTGTACCCACCTATGCATGCCCACACCCTACTCCAGGTGTCCGCCATCAGGCATGCATTTAATCTAAAGGCAGGAGGGCAGAAAAGCCTGATACTTTGTACTTACCCTACACAGCAGAAAAACCGGGAAGAGTTTTAGCTGCTCTGCTAATTGAAAAGCCTCTGAACTTTCCCTCTCTGAGGTTGGCTGCTGGAAGTCTCTCCTTCGGAGGCCTGCAACAGCCTCTGGAAGATACGTATGATGGGGGCAGAAATGGTTGACCCCGGAATCCCTGAAGATCCAAAACACTGGAATCCCGAAAAATGAATGCCGAACACTGAAATCCTGAACACTGAATCCTAAACACTGAATGCTTGGGGGCTGCTTTTGCAGTCCCTTACATTTCTTTTTTTTTTTTTTAAACAAAATACTTTGTTTGCATTTTCCCTGGGGCTATTTCTCCTCACCAGCATCCACATCAGGGCACACCACCCGTAACAGTCTTTGGCTTCGGCCACCTGTTACAAGAATATTATTCTTGGGTAGGAGAGATAGATAGATGATTGATAGATAAATAGTGTAGGGGAAGTGAAAAAGCATCAGGCTTTTCTGCCCTCCCACCACTACGATTGATAAGGGATCCCTGCGGACCTGAATACGTGCCTGATGGCGGGCACCTGGAGTAGGGTGTGGGCATGTGTAAGTGGATACACCTGTGCTGAGAGACTGGGCTTATAAGGCAGGGTCACTTATAAGCCCCTTATAAGGGGGACGCCAGCAGAAGAAGACCCACGAGGAGAGCAAAGCAGAGAGAACGTGAGAGAAGGCCGGAGAGCCCAGAAAGAGTGAAGACTTGCTGGGGGCCGGCCTCCCTGCACCTCTGCCTGCCATGTACCTGGTAAATCCCAATAAAAGTCTGTAAAAGGGCCTCCCGGTGGCGCAGCGGTTGAGCGCTGGGTTGCGAAGCTGCCCGCGGCCTCTGCGGCGCCGGTTCGATCCCCAGCTGCACCCGGCCAAGGAGGAGGGCACGTGGCGCGCAGACCTCTCCTGCCGCCCGCTGCTCCCCTCAGCAGTGTACTTCGGTCCTTCTGCCTTCTGCTCCCCGCTCTGGCTCTGGTGAATCCCTCACCCTCCCGCACTTCTGACTGTACCAGTGCTTGTATAAATAAATAAATTAAAAATCTTTAAAAAAAAAAAAAAAAAGAACATTTAAAAAAAAAATAAAAAAAAAAAAAAAAGTCTGTAAAAGCCACCGAGGGCTCCAGGAGTCCTCCTTTACCCCATCTGCTCAGGTCATAGAGAAACTGCTCCGGCACTTCTTGACACTATAGATAGATAGATAGATAGATAGATAGATAGATAGATAGATAGATAGATAGATAGATAGGATGGAGGACAAGAATAGAAAAGCTGGAAAGGAGGCCTCACAAGACTAAAACCTGACTCACACAAGGAGGTGGGGGAATGAGGGGAGTAACAGGACCATTAACCCAGCTGCAGGGGTCGTGACCCTCAGACACCAGCGCCTTGTCACAAAGGCATGCGACCCAAGCAGGATCAGATGCTATAGGGATGGAGCACAGACCTGAGGGTAAAGATATGGACATTGGGCCCACCCTGGAATCTCTGGTCCCTTCCTGGTTTTGCCTAGTTGTCCCAAATCAGCAACAAACAGGCCACTCCATGGAGAAGTGACCCCTCCCAAGGAGAAGAGGACTGTATCAGTGCAGTCTCTGAACAGGCTCGGGGCAGCCCTCCCACTGCCCACCTGTGCCTATGCAGGTGCTTCTTTTCACCAACTCTCTCCCTCTGTAGGGCAGCAGCTTTCTGGCTTCCTGTGACCTGTACCATGCTGGGACTTCTCTTCATTGACCTCCCTCAGTGGAGGCCGCTCTCCTCAAGGCCACCCGCCTGCAACCATGCAGGCCTTTCTTAGCAAAACCTGTCCCTTTCCCTAATAAACCTGTTCTTTAAATATGACTAATGTCTCTGTCTCATGGAGAAACTCACCGCATGCCACTGAAACGGGAGCTCTGGTGAAACCTTTCCCAGAGTGAACCCACGGACCCCGCACTCTACAAAACAACATCAGATAGATAGATAGATAGATAGATAGATAGATAGATAGATAGATAGATAGATAGATTCTTCAGAGCTTATAAAGGATATTGGAGAAAATCAAGTGGAGGGGGGTGGTAAATCTGTAGAAGTTACCTAGTTTGAATTTTATAAAGAGCAGTCTGGGAGCTCTTTCTGATGCTATTGAACAGTATTTCAGGGGAAAAAAAATGGATAGCAAAAATGAAGATAAATAATGTGTGTGTTTTTCAGGCAGAGCAAGCAAAGATTCACCCAAGATTCAACCATGTGTTATATTTTAAAACTTTTAGTGAATACTATAACAGATCACAATTATGACATTAAGAATGAAATATTTTGCCATCAAGCTATATAATTCTGAAGAAATCACTAAATTTGATGTGCTAGAGAATTTGTCACTAAAAATTTAACATGGGATTGAAATATAAGAATTGAATCTCTATCTAAAATTTTAAAATATCATTTATTAAAATGTTTGAGTGTCTAGTACTGTTTTAAAGATAATGAGTAATATTAGATAAATAATATATGTTCCTTGCTATTATGTAGTCTAAAATATTAAGAAAATAATGTATATATAACTGAAATAGAGTTATATAAGTGAAAACAGAAAACTATGTAGGTGATAAATAGTGGCTATGTTTCACAATTGTATCAAAAACAAAGAAATTATGTAAAGCAAAGTAATCAAGAAACTTAGGAAAAATGACAATGTCAAATATTATCGAAGATAGTAGGTTCTTTAAGGAAACTCATAAGCCAAAATTTTTCAAAAGAGGACAAAATATAGTTTCATTAATTGAATCTGCTTGTGCAGTGTCAGAAATTACCTTAAAAGGAGAAACGTTTATGGAATTTTTAATAGAAATTGTCAAAAATTATCCAAAATTTTAGGAACTGATTAGGCTACAGGAGTCTTAGAAAAAACATAAGGTTAACCATATATATGGATATCAAAAATATACAAATAAAAATCAACAAGGTTAATTATAAAATATGTACCGATATAGATGGAACCAAGCTTGCATCTACTTTGAAAACATATATTTGAGCGCAAAACTCAAGTGAATTTCTGGGTGGTTCTCTATGTCTGCCATATCTCTAAGTATAGGGCCTTCTCTATGAAAAGAACCAGTGTTAGTTTTTAATCCAGAGTCTCACAATGAAGTCTGCAGAAATGGACATTTAAAATGCTTATTGAACAACTGAGTGACTATAATACATCTTATACTGGAGCTAAAATTAATCTTGATTCACATGATAAGTTCTGAATTTAATTCACTCCTGTAATTATGTGAAATAATACTTCTTCTCTGAGGCTGGATGGTTTTCAAATGAAAACTTTTATCCACCTCCACATGTCAACACTTTCTAATATTGTCTGAAATAAAGTAGAATCACAAAGGCTGGGATGTGATATTTACACCTTGGATAAAGAAAGGGAGCGCCGGGCATTTTAAAAGTTCTCTTTTTGAGAAAACTGATTTTTTTAATATTTAGCAGTTATCAGTTCAATAATTAATAATAATGTTTTACATATAAGATAGTACTTAGTAACTTCAAAATTATTTTCAAACATTATTATATACTATATAAAATCAATTACCAGTGGGATGATTTATAATTTCCAAGAACAGGGCCTCCCTGGTGGCGCAGCCAGTTGAGCGCACGCTGTGAAGTTGTCCCCAGCCTCTGCACTGACGGTTCGATCCCTGCAGGCGGCGGAGGAACCCACATGTCGAGCAGACCCCTCCTGTCTCGCCCGCTGCTCCATTCATCGTTATATTTCGGTCATTCTACCTGTTCTGTTCCCTGATCTGTCTCTGGTGAATCCTCTCACCGTCCCAGGCATCTGGTCTGTACCCCAGTTCTTGTAAAAGTAAAATAAAACTTTAAAAAATAATAATAATAGTTTCCAAGAACAATGTTAATCACTGTAGAAAGACAAAGGTAAGAAAAAACTTCTGCATGGAGAAACAAATTTTTAAAAGGTAACTTTGGGAAGCACTATATCTTTGTCTGGAAATTGTTAGCATATAACACAATATCCCTACTAATATAGAATTACTAGGAGATACAGAAATTAAAACTTATTACAGAATCTTTCTCCCTTTCCCAACATGGCAGCCTCAGCAAAATAACAATGATAATGATAATAATAAATAATAACAATGATAATAATAATAATTTAAATAATAATAATAATAATAAATTTTAAAAAAGTATTTCTCCCTAACAGGCTTTCTGACTGGGGAGGAAGTGCCTCCCTCACCCGAGCCATCACTGGACTGATGAAACAGATAATCTGAAAGGACATGTTAAAATTACTTGCACAGTGATGACAATGGCAGGTGTAGGACACCTTCAATTGACAATTCAGTCTGGCCTACTGCTCCACCAGCTGCTCAGGAACCCCATATGAAGAGCAGTCTTCTTCCCACATCGCCAACCTCCACATCTTTCTAGATAAGCCACCCCGTGATGTGATTAAAGACCCCGTTAAGAATTCTTTAGCGTGTTAAGTATCAGCGAGGTGTACTTACCACATGATCCCAGCCATCCAGAGAGGTTCAAAGGCTGCAGTTACGCCAGTTGAGGACTCAGCTCCCTTGCTCAGTGTCCTGAGTCTTCTTGAGGCGTCTGTCTCTACGTAACAGAAGAATTGTGATGGAAGGCGCTGACCAATCGCAGGAGTAAGAGCAGGAGGAGCGTTTATTCGCATTAGAACGCTGTTTCCTGATTAATTCAGACAGGGAGGAAGCCTGTCCTGCCATAGAGGGCTTTGAAGACCCCACCTAAGAGTTGATGATAGTTTCATAACCAAGTTTTACGAAATGTTAGTATTCAAATAGATAAGCTGATGGGTTTGGACAAGTGTACCTTGATGGTCCTCCCTGGCATGTGGATCCATCTGGAGTCAGGGGTTGCTAGGATGACCAACCCAGCAGAGCCCATGACGCAGGCTTAGGTACCATGGTAGACAGTGAGAGAAGGGCAGATGGTAGCAGCTATTGCAACACAATGGGGCCCATTGTGAAAACATTTATGATAAATAAGATTCATTCATGCACTCCAGAAATGATTTTCCTCAAGATCATTAGAGGCATGATGATAGAGATGCCCCCTACTCCAAGACTAAGGCTGAATCTAAACCCTTGGAGTACTTAAAAGGTAGACTTTTGAACCAAATGCTGTCACCTCCCCATCCCATCAAAAATCTTCTATCTTTGAAGGGTGCAAGTCTATTAACACAGTTGTAAAGAGCTGGGAGTGGAAGAACAGATTTAGAGTGTGCATGAGAAATGGTAGCATCAGCTGGATTAGCTAGAACTTGAACCAGGTCTTGGGGGAGACACTCAAGGCAAGTGAGGAAACTTAAGAACCTTAGAGGAGGACAGGAGGTTGAATCATCACAGCCAGCCACCGATGTCAGCCACATCTGGCAGAAGCAGGTTACCACAATGCTGGAAAGAGAGAGATATAGATATCTCTAAAAATAAAGCACTCAATAAGGAGAAAGACAATCACTCCCCAGCTTCTAAGCCTAACAATGCTAAACAGTCTACAAAAGTAGTAACAGTCCCTCCTCCAAAGGGAGTGCTTGAGTGAAGCTAAGTATTAACTTCACTCAGAACAGAGACACAGAGCTGCAGTTCACTACAAATAGTGGCGGGGGGGCAGTGGTGGGGGGCAGGATGGAGAGGAATTAGTTCAAGCTCAAACATCTGATTAAAAACCAGAAAAGATGGTGAAAATAGTGTCCCAAAAGGACAAAGTAGAAACTGCAGCCTGGTCTAGGAGATAGAAGGAACAGGAAGGAATCAGTTAGGAAAGATGGGAAAATGGATCAGGACTCCTAGTCTATACCTGAACCAAAGATACTTAACAGCCTCAAGAAAATCTAACTTCTACTTTCAGTTCTGCTAGCAGGAATGCTGCTCTCTTCCTTGTAGGTAAAGATGAAAACGAGGGAGATTATACAAAATTGGTCTCTATATCCTGTACCCTCTCCTGGACTCTCTCCACTCTGAAACATTCAAAGGAAAATAAAATTTCTATCCAGATGACAAAATAAAGGTTATCATTGCCTTGAGACCTTTCTCAATTAAAAAAAAAAAGTAAAAATCTTTTATATGGTCTTGCAGCCTTACAAGTGTTGAACTAACTAGATAATCAAACTGTAGCCAGAAAGTCTAAATCTTAAAGGAAAAGTCGTGGTGTGTTTTTATGACACATATGCCCCTCTTTGTAAGCCGTAGGGGTCTCCATTTAGCAAAATGGCAAGTAGAATGATGCAATGTTTGTAATCTGGTAGGTCAGTAGGTTAGCTATAAGCAACAGTGTGAGATTTCTACTATTTAATTCTTATTACCCAATTGTGGCATATATGAATTCTCAAACACTATCTAAATAAATTTACTATTCTAGGAAAGGTAAATTTAATCTCTCTGAAGTTGTTTTAGTCTCCAGAAGGTTGCCAGCCCCATCCTATTTTAATTGAGTTATGGGGTCAGCCTAGGGTGAATAACTTCATTTCTTATCCCCGGGGGCTAGAAGGGAAGTAGTTGTGAGTCCATCTACAAGCCACTTAAAGAATAGGATTGTTTGGTGACCAAAATAAGGAGCTGTGGTTTGAAAAGAAGCTTTTGGGAGGTGATGAGTTATTTTGCAGTAGTAATAGAGACAATAGTGTGATCTGCCATGAACACATGAATGGTTGCACGTTGGAATAAGAAACCCTGGAGGGTTATGGGAATTCCCAAGACTTTTGTCCTTTCTTAATTAAATTGCTCATGGGTGTGTGCGTGCGTGTGTGTGTGTGTGTGTGTGTGTGTGTCAGGGGAGGGTGACCGATATTACATATTTTAGATGGAAGTAATTGAAAATGAAATGGAAGAAAATACAATTTTTATTTGGATTTTACTGGATAACAGTTTTGAGGGAGAAAAATATCAATATATTTAGATCAAAAAAATCTCTCAAGTGCTAACTCTAGCTGGGAAAAATAATCAAATGTATCAATCCAGTCATATAATGAATCTATACTGTAATTAAAAAGTTTTATATTGTATAATGCTGTCTACCTAAAATAATCCCTAATACATCAAGTTGATTTTGGCCAAAATATTTATATATCAGCCAAAGGTGAATATATAAGGAAGTAGGCTAGAGAATTAATTCATTCACAACTAGTAATTTGTTTTTCTGCCCTATGTGATTCATCAATCATTTAATAAAGCAAGTTAGATCTCTAATTTTGTGAATTTGGGTTTTTAACTATTATATAGTCTTCCTTAGATTAAAGGTTCAGAATGTACTTTAGGTATCCATATATAGCTCCCTCAAAGTAAAATAAACAAAACTAAATTACCAATAAATATATATTATGTACAAATCTTAGTTAAGACTCTCTATTTTGGGGGATAATGTCTTTGTGGAAATGTTTTTTTTTTTTTAATGCAAAAGTTGAGGCCTCCCTGGTGGCCTAGGGGTTAAGGCTCAGCTCTATCCCCATTAAGCCCCCGCCATGACCTCCTGAGTTCCAGCTCCAAGCAGGCAGCTAACCCACATATAACACAGCAGACCTCTCCTGTCTCGCCTGCTGCTACCCTCAGCAGTGTATTTCAGTAAATCTCCCTGTTCTACTCTCCACTCTGTCTCTGATTAATCCTTTCACTCCCCCACACCTGTGGACGGCACCCCAGTTCTTTTGCCCAAAAATAAATCATTAAAAATGCAAACATTATGGATACTCTCCTTGTAAAGTGTTTTAGTTATCTCCCAAAACAATAAATGTGTTGTCTCTCAGTTTATGTAAGTCAGGAATTCAGAATGGGCTCAGGTGGTCATTCAATCTCCCCTGTGAGTACTCACATTCAGGTGGTGACCAGAACTGAAAGAGCAGGAGGCAGGGGCTGGGCTAGAATGTCATTAAACCTGCTAGACAGCTATTTTTCCTCTCCCTCTTCCTTTTCCCTGATATCTTTTCTCTAAAGGCTTTTCCATTTGTCTTTCCTCATAAACTAATTTGGACTTTCTCTTACCAGAAAGCTCAGAAGTTAGTTGAGCATCTTACACAGCAGCTCAGGGCACCACTACCTTGTGTCTGATCAAAGGAAGCAGAAGTCCCAGTGCCTCTTATGACCTAGTCTCTGAGGTCACAAAGCATCACTTCTACCACATTCTATTGGTTTCAAAGGAGAGTTAGTCACCTAGATTTAAGGGGTGAAGTTTACCTCTCTCTACTTTAGAAATGGCACATTCACAATGTAGAAGAGCATGTGGGATGAAAGTTTTTTGGTGGAGTTTTCTGGAACACACTACCTGCCATGGGAAGCAGTACAATCAGTCTAAACATTATACATACCTGTCTCATTCCTTCTATATTACCAAAGAAGCCATTGTTTCTCCCAAGTTATATTGAATGTTATATATCAAGATGCCATACACACTGTTCAAATAAGCAGTATTTCTTTTTCAATCAAATTTATAGCTAGTTTGGCAGACTCCAGGTAGAAAGAAAACAATCTTATTTCAGCATTAATGGACTCTCCTACATACCGGCTTTAGCAAATTAGCAAGCAAGAAAAAATATTTTGGAGCATCTTGGAATTAAAACCATTAGATACAAAGTAGATTGTATATTGTTCATCAAAGTAATAACCTTAACTTAAGAATTATTTATTTTAATTGACTATAAAAATACTCTATTTTCATGGTGGATCATATAATTGCCTTGGGTAATAGACCTAGCAAGTTTTTGCCATTGCAAAAAATGCTTGAGTCCAGTTGTCCTTTTTATGGAGTTTAAAATCTGTGGAAAATGGGGACAAAATAGGAAGATAAATGTAGTGTTACATTGTTTATGTTACCAATTAGAGAATTTCCTGTGAAAATGTAAAAATGAAATGTGTCTTCAGAGGAAATAATAAAAAATACACTACTCTAATTTTTAGTTAGAAAATATACTATAAATATTATATATGGTTATTTTTGCTATTTTCAATAAATACAAACATCACCATAAAGCAATTTATATTCTGATTATGAAAATATTTATAAATAATTTAATAGCAATATCTTAGCACTGCTATTTCTTATCACTGAATATCAGTGCAATTTCCTGTGTTTTCTCAAAGGAAAATGTTATCCAAAGATTCTTTTTTTTGGGGGGGGTGTAAAGTTTATTGTGGAATGTTGCAAATTATTTTCACTTTTAAATCTCAATAAATTGGTGAAAGAATACATTGAACCAAGTCTTCATCTAACTCAACTTCAATATTTTACTGTTACCAGGGTAGAAGTTCTATGAGAACTAGGATTTTTGTTGTATTACTTATGGATGCATACAAAGCACCTATAGTTATTTCTGTTCTACAGAAAATTGCTGTGGCAGATGTTTCAGGTACCAATGTCACTTCCCTAAGGCAAATTCTGATTTTATTTCAGCTGTGCTAAAATGTTCTGATTTACCCTGACTGTCACTATCAACGAAGCATACCTGTTTGTCCACATGTGCCTTAAAACGTCCCCCAAGTCTTCCGGAGCTCTAGACATTGGTGAAATTTCAGCTAGGGAGTATTAGACAACTCTACAGATGAAAATTGTTGGTTAAGCCTCCATTCAAACTTCCATTTTTTTTTTCTTTGGATGTTTCTGGAATACAATCAGTGTCATTCTTAGTAAAATGCAATATTAGTAAATCATATAAGATCACCTTCCAAAAACAATGTGTTCCAAGTCTTTATCTTTTACACTTTTTTTATTTTTTTTGGAAGGGTAATGAGAGATTAGGGGATTGAAATCAATACTTTTTAAAAAAAAAATTGTTTATTTATGCATACAAGAACTGGGGTACAGGCCAGAGGTGCAGGGGGTGAGAGGATTCACCAGAGACAGAGTGGGGAACAGAAAAGGCTGCTGAGGGGAGCAGCAGGCAAGATAGGAGAAGTCTGCTGTGCCATGTGATTCACCTCCCTGGCGGGGGATTCAACTCTTGCTTCAGTAGCTGCGGATTGCTTCACAGTGCTGATGCTTAACCCCTTGTACCACCAGGGAGGCCCCTGAAATCAATACTTAAACAATACTCTAGAGCTATGTATATTATTAAAGACTTGTTTTGAAAGCAACTTTCTGGCAAAGTCAATCACTTAAAAGGCATATGAAACCTTTCTTTTTGGAATGTATTCCCTTCATCAAAATGAAGATCTTTAAATTTATATAGAGTTGTATAAAATAAATCGAATAACCAGTAAAACACAGCTTGGGCTAATTGCTTCTCTTTCCCCTTTCAATAAGAGTAAATGTCTGAAAGAAGAATAGAATAGAGAATATGCAGTTTTCTCTTCTCCAGTTATTTGGCAAATCATATCATACAGGCTAGTATCCAACACTAACTAGCACTTAAATATAAATGGATAATTTAGTGCCTATTTGTCAAATGAAAGTATAATTGCTACCTACCCCTTCACTTTTTAATGCACGTGTCCATTTCCCCATTAAGAAGCACATATTGATTAAGCTCAATTTTTTTCAAGCATTCAAATGCATACATAACACCTAATCCTCAAAAATTAATGACTGTGAGACTAAGACGTATGCATTTTTTTTTTTTTAATTTTCTAGAGGCATGTCTTATTTATTTATTTATTATTTGTTTGTTTGTTTGGTTTATACATGCACTGGGTACAGTCAGAAGCGCAGGAGGGTGAGAGAATTCACCAGAGCCAGAGCGGGGAGCAGAGCAGGCAGAAGGACCGAAGTACACTGCTGAGGGGAGCAGCGGGCGGCAGGAGAGGTCTGCGCGCCATGTGGGACCCTCCTCTGGTGGCCGGGGAGCAGCCGGGGATTGAACCGGCGCCGCAGAGGCCGCGGGCAGCTTCGCAACCCAGTGCTCAACCGCTGCGCCACTGGGGAGGCCCTAAGACGTATGCATTTTTTCTTCACATAAAAATGTCACAAATTCATATTCTTATCTTATGAATATTTATTTAAAGAAAACAAAGCTAATGTGTAGTTATTTCATAAATGGTTTATTTTGAAAAATAAATTGGTAGACTACCACTTACAAGGCTGTAAGAAATAGTACAGTACGTGTATAATTCAAATTTAGCTCAATACAGAGGAGATACACTGAAAAACTGTTCAATATAGTTAGATACAGATTATGGATTGAAAATTGAAGCTTCCACTAACAGAAGGTGAGTAGGCAGTGAAATCAAACTGAGAAGAGCCTTTATTGAGAGTGAATTTATACCTCAACAGAAGAGTTGTAGTTCAAGAGAATATTTTCTTCATTGAGCATGTAGACTAATTTTTCCATAATAAATATCACTGGACTATTTCCAAATCAAATGTATTCTACTGTTCAGAATTAATTTCAGAAGGCAATATCTTACCGTTAAGAATAGAAAGGGCCTCCCCTGGTGGCACAGTGGTTGAATGCTGGCCTGCAAAGCTTCCGGCAGCCTCTGCAGCACCGGTTCAATCCCTGGCTGCGGGCGAGGGTCCCACATGTCGCGCAGACCTCTCCTGCCTCCCGCTGCTCCCCTCAGCAGTGTACTTCGGTCCTTCTGCCTGCTCTGCTCCACGCTCTGGCTCTGGTGAATTCTCTCACCCTCCCGCGCTTCTGACTATACCCAGTGCTTGTATAACTAAATAAATCTTAAAAAAAAAAAAAAGGATAGAAAGAAATGTGTGTTGTTTTAAAGATGAAACAATTGATTTGTTAAAACTCATACTCGTCTCTGGACCAACAAAAGCGGAAATAGAGAGGGTAAATCTAAGGAAGCTTTTCAAATGTCACTAGGATAAGCCTGTGTTTGAACCAGTAACTGTAATTTTCATATTCTGCTGTGGTTATTTGTTTAGCTGGCCAGATAAAACTATTTCTAAGTGCTTACATAGCATTCTCATGCAGAAAGTTATTTGCTCCATCAAAAAAAAAAAAAAAATAGATGGTGTTGACTCTCTCTGAAGTAAATTGTAAGTGTGTGTGTGTGTGTGTGTGTGTGTGTGTGTGTGTGTGTGCGCGCGCGCAAGCGCACACAATAGTACTTGTGGATTACTGAGGACTGTTTTATCAGGATCAGAATCTGTAGAGTGCTAGCTTCTTTGGACAAAGAAGATTTCAATTATGTATCTAGCCAAATGCATGCAAGCACAATGTAAATTTATGAAGGGAAATCCACATTACAATGATATAAGCATGCAATTCAATTGTCAGTAAAAGGGAGAGGATTACAGTCCTCTTGGAAAGCTTAACAAACAAAACATGCAGAGTAGAGTAGTCAGGACTCATTCCAGAGATTTCTGGCGGTAGTCCATCTTCAGGGAGGGAAAAACCAATTCTCAGAAGGGAGAGTACCGGGTCTCTTCATGCTGTAAAAGACTGAGGGACCAAGGACATAGAGTCCATACGCATCTCAAGTTGCCTTAAATTTGGTGACTATGTTTATAACACTGTCCAGAAGCGTATTATCAGGAATAAATGTTAATTGTAATTTGTTAGGAGCCTCTCTGGATAGGAAGGTTTTATCTGTCCTTTGTCAGTGTCTTCATGTAAAATTGGATGCTTTTTAATTGATAATTGTAAGTTGCTTTATCTTAATTGCCCCTACTTTTCCATCAGTCAAGATCATTACAATATCAATGTATATAACATTTCCATCAATCAGAATCATTACAATATCTATGCACTGACAATACTTAACATTCTGTCCATTGCTAGGGATATAAAAGTGAATAGGGTACAATTATTCAAGACTTTTATAGTCTAATGTAAACACAGTAATGGGAAATTTCAATGGATAACATGTTATCATTAATCTAAAAACTGGATGCTATGGGTTTCCACAAGAGAAACTGTAACCCTCATCTCAGAATATCTTCAGGACAATTATCTGATGTGAAACTTAGAGATTTGTAGATGTAGAGGAACTGAAAGAGAAACTAAAAGTAGTGAAGGATAACTGAACAACTTTTACAAGGTTTTTATGCAGGAATGTAGCATATTCGTTGAGTTAATAATTAAAAATAGCTGAAGCCAAAAATTTGGCTAGGATAACACGTTAGATAAATCAATAATACTCCAGTTGCAGATAAATTAAAA